CAGGCCAAACCGAGGACTCATTCTGACACCACGTCTTCAGTGGGCAACACAGCATCAGCATTGGTGCCACCAACAGTGGAGAAGAGTTACTGTATCTCAACAGCAGATGGCAGAGAGAGAGAGAGAGAGAGAGAGAGAGTCTGGCGACGCCTCGGGTAACGTTATTCGGATGCTTGTGTTGTTGAGAGACTCGTGGGGTGGTCCGAGCATCACGGTGTGAGGTGGAATTGGTCTTGCACAGAGGGTCGGCCCTGTGGTCTTCCAGAACATCGGTCCAGGGAGAGGCAATGGTGTCACAGCAGCTCGGTACATTGATCAAGTCTTGAGACCACACGCCATACCTCATTTGGCACGTCGTCGCAACCACGAATTTCAGCATGATAACGCCCGTGCCCACACTGCGAGAGTAACAAGAGACTTCCTCCAGCAGAATGGCATCAGACAACTGCAGCTGAACTGCCTCAGGCGTTCCTCAGAGTGTGGGCTCAAGTGCCTATGGCCTTCATCAACCGCCTCATCCATTCCATGTATCGACGTTGCACGGCAGTCATCAATGCACATGGCGGACACACGAGATACTGGCTTTTGATGCCATTTGCTCAGAGACTAGTGTTTGACACTTTAATTTCAACCTTGGTGATCAGTTTTCCCAAGTTACATCTTTTTAATATGTCTCAAAGTATGTTTACAGTGTTTGGACAAATAAGGTTTCTCATATATCTGTCCATGGTGATGTTTCTTTTGCGGTTCAGTATATATATCCGGGGAAAAAACTTGACTCAAGATATCGTTGTGTCTTCTGGGCCATACTCCGATCTTACATTGGTGTGCAGCGGGATTGTTTCGTAATGGAAGGGGACCGGAATTATATGTGAACAGTGACTATGCCAGAAAAAAATTCAGAAAGAGAAAACTCGGGTTGAATGGTAGGAACAGTTTCAACAGAATAACTGTTACTGTGACAAGAAAGCCGATTTCATGGCCTTGTGTTTGAAAGATGAAGCAAAATCAATCTACCACCGTTTTACAACAGCGCAAAAGAATTACTTTGCACTGTTATCTGATGCCTTAAAATCGTATTATTCTTCAGAGGAACGGAGGCGAAAGTACAAGGTAGAGCTACCAGGTAGGAAAATGTTGAATGGAGAAAGTATTTGGATGTTCTGCTCAAAAATTAGCTCACAGAGCTTAATCAGATATGATAGCTATGGACGTTGATGGGCTAGCCATGGATCAGTTTATTAAAGGATTAGTTGCAAAGGAACTTAGACTTGATGTAAGCCATGCACAAGTGGAAACCCTGGATAAGGCAGTGAGAGTAGCATCTGTTGCATTATATGCAAAGGGACTGCAGAAGACCGCAGGGCAGGAATAGGAATTTAAACAGTTAGGGTCCAGGGGAAGCGGTCGTCCCTCGGCTGTCATTGATGAAAATAGTGAGACCCAACAAAACGTAAATTTTGAAAATGTGGAAGAAGGTGTCTTGTATGCTTCTGTTTGTGGAATTGAAGGAATTCAGGTGATACAGGTGCTTCAGTTACTGTGATTGATGAAACATTTCTTCATTCATTAGGATTTCAAGTAAATCTTGAGGAAACCAATAGTCGTGCATGGTCAGCAAATTCACAGGAAATCAAGATAAGTGGTGACACTAACATAAATATCCGAATTGACCCATTAATAAACGGATAAAGGTATTTGTGTGTCCTGGTGGTTGTTGTGATCGGATTCTTGGTGCTGACGTTTTGCGAATCATGAAAGCGACAATTGATATGTCCCAAAAGAGGATGAGGATTTGATGGCACTATATTGTATTAACAACTGAAGGTAAGAAAACATTCATTGCTAGAGTTCAGATTAATGACAGAGTGGTAGTACCAGCAGGGCATGAAATGATATTCCCAGTAAAACTGAATTCATCCCGACTTGCTAACTTAACTGGATATTTGGAACCATCAGAAAAATTTCAACAGAAAAGTGGACTAATAACTGCAAAGGTGTTAGCTGATCCAAAAAACAATATCTTTCCAGTACCAGTGATGAATGTAACCGAAGAAAACAGAACTTTGTATGAGAATACACACACTGGCGAGTTTCACCCTGTGAGATCTACCATGTCTACAGCTGACAGAAATATTGCAACTTTGTCAATATTTATGAAAATAATGCATGGAATTCACAGATTCAATATGGAGACCTGTCAGAAACTGAGTCAAAAAAGTTGAAGGAGATGTTGTTGAAATACTCTGATGTTTTCTCAAAGGATGATTACGATCTAGGATGTACTAACTTGGGCAAATTTGAGATTGATACTGGCAATTCAAAACCTAAAACGGTTTATGAGGACTATCGGAGATATGTTAAGCAAGTATGTTGCCAAACATCAATGTAATGGACGTCTACCTCTGGTGACGATGGCCCATAACTCAAGTGGACACAGTTCTTCCAAGTATACTCCAAACTACCTCGTTTTCTGGTAGAGAAATTAATCTACCAAGAGATATCATATACGGACAAACAGGGGAACAGGCAAATGTGATAGAAAAGGGGGATTTTGTGAAAGAAATGGAGTCCAGGATAACCAAGGCTTATGAAATAGTCAAGGAAAATCTACAAAGATCATCCCAGTATCAGAGTATTATGATCGCAAATCTCATGCTAAGCCATTTCAAGCAGGGGACCAAGTCTTACTTTTCTGTCCTTCAGTACCAAAAGGCAAATGCCATGAATTGTATCTACATTGATATGGACCATATCAAGTACTTACAAAGCTTCCTGATGTGATCCATGGAATTCAACATGTATCTGACCATAAGAAGGTGGTAGTCCATAGGAATAGGCTCAAATTCATAATAATGCAATAATATTTATAATAACCATCCATCCATCCACACCTTCATTGAATGCCAACCATGTGCCTAAGATAGGAATTGTTCATTCAAATCAAAAGCAGAAGTCAGTACCGGGTAGTAATGGTATCACTGTCTTTCCAAATGATGAAAGGAGGAACACCCCTTCAACGGAAGTTAGCTGCTATGGCCCTGTATTACCCAGTAGTCCTCCATAAGAAGAAGGGAAAAGAATGAGATGACCCCTGCTGTGGCTGAAGGACTATGTTCAGTGAACCATGAACTCTAAATGTATAAGTACATGTATAAGTGCATGCATTACCCATTGTTCATAGCGTGAACACGGTCAAATGAACATTTTTCATAGAGTATTGTGATATCAGTGTCTTGTAGTTTTTGTGATTATTTCTTTGCATCTTTAGACTGAATGTTATATGTATAGTGATGTAAGTGAATGTGAACTCTTAACCGTTACATCAATCTTGTTCTTTATTGTTATGTTATGTCAAACAACTTGTTAATGTGTGTATGTATAGGCCTGCAGACATAGTTATGTACTTATTCTCTTGTGACCTCATACTGACTATCTTCATGTAGGTTACTCAAGACATTTTAATTTTTGTCGCTAGAGCTGTTGTACATACAAAATATTTGGATATCTCACAAGGACGTGATCAACGTTTCAAAGGGGGGAGTAATGTTAAAAGTAAGTTCACATATATAACGAGATCTCGCGAGAGTTGGACTCCATTCAAGACGGCGGCGCCCAGTGAGTGATCCATTCGATGTCGCCAGGTCAACATATAACTGGTAAGTAATGTTGTATGTGATAGTATGTATACGTGACGGAAAGGGGGGGGGGGGGGGGGGGTTGACGGGTTAGACGTTAGTCTGGTTGACAGTGCTGATGTGTGCACACGTACATGTCACATTTATAACCGAAGAAACAACCTTGACAACCACATCGTTGTGTCATCTGGGCCATATTCCGATCTCACAACAGGAACCATAAACATTCTGGAAACTATTCAATACATTTCATCCCAGAAGACATCGTTTAGTCTGATCAAAAAGAGTTTAGAAACTTTATCAGGACATTTACAATATTAAAACAAAACGAAAGTAACTTCTCCGAAGACTCTACATCACTCATCAGGACATGACGATATGCAAATACATGACAGTCTTAATGAACAAATAACTGGTAATGAAATTGTCATGTATAAAACAATACAAAGCAAACGAAAGAAGAAGATAACATAAGTAATGAACTTGAAAATCAACATCTTGTTCATTGATCTACCAACTGAATTGTTTGATAGGCATTCCTAAGAAGTTGACGGATGACAAAGTAGACACACTTTATGGATAACAACTTCTTTATTACTGTAAAGGCGACGTTTCGGTATAGATCCTTTTTAGCCTAACCAGACTGACTGTGCCAGGATCACCCAAACCCTCTTAGTTGCATTTTTTATTTTAGTCTAATAATAATAATAGATTAATTAAGCGATGAAACCCTTTTCATAGCCAATAGTTATATCTACAAGAAGCAGAGTCCTAACAACAATTGGGATATTGTAGGAAACAATTTTGCAAGGTCGTAAATAAAAGCATAAAGGATAACATGCAAAAACATCAATTACAAGACCATTGGCAAAAAGGCATTTGATTCAGCTAACAGATCAATACTTCAATAAAAGCTATTAGCAAATACAATTTCAGGAAATGTGTTAAAAATAAAGTAATCAAATTCCTTTAAATCCAACATTGGAGTAAGACGAGGGTGCCTTTTGTCTCTTAATATATACCCCAATGATCCCCAACATTATTTCAAAGCCTGTATCAGTCCTCATTTCAACTTCATTGTCAGTCTGTATCAGTCCTCATTTCAACTTCATTGTCAGTCTGTATCAGTCCTCATTTCAACTTCATTGTCAGTCTGTATCAGTCCTCATTTTAACTTCATTGTCAAAGTCTGTATCAGTCCTCATTTCAAATTCATTGTCAAAGTCTGTATCAGTCCTCATTTCAACTTCATTGTCAAAGTCTGTATCAGTCCTCATTTCAACTTCATTGTCAAAGTCTGTATCAGTCCTCATTTCATCTTCATTGTCAAAGTCTGTATCAGTCCTCATTTCAACCTCATTGTCAAAGTCTATCAGTCCTCATTTCAACTTCATTGTCAAAGTCTGTATCAGTCCTCGTTTTAACTTCATTGTCAAAGCCTGTATCAGTCCTCATTTCAACTTCATTGTCAAAGTCTGTATCAGTCCTCATTTCAACTTCATTGTCAAAGTCTGTATCAGTCCACATTTCAACTTCATTGTCAAAGTCTGTATCAGTCCTCATTTCAGCTTCATTGTCAAAGTCTGTATCAGTCCTCATTTCAACTTCATTGTCAAAGCCTGTATCAGTCCTCATTTTAACTTCATTGTCAGTGCCTGTATCAGTCCTCATTTCATCTTCATTGTCAAAGTCTGTATCAGTCCTCATTTCAACTTCATTGTCAAAGTCTGTATCAGTCCTCGTTTTAACTTCATTGTCAAAGCCTGTATCAGTCCTCATTTCAACTTCATTGTCAAAGTCTGTATCAGTCCTCATTTCAACTTCATTGTCAAAGTCTGTATCAGTCCACATTTCAACTTCATTGTCAAAGTCTGTATCAGTCCTCATTTCAGCTTCATTGTCAAAGTCTGTATCAGTCCTCATTTCAACTTCATTGTCAAAGCCTGTATCAGTCCTCATTTTAACTTCATTGTCAGTGCCTGTATCAGTCCTCATTTCATCTTCATTGTCAAAGTCTGTATCAGTCCTCATTTCAACTTCATTGTCAAAGTCTGTATCAGTCCTCATTTCAACTTCATTGACAAAGTCTGTATCAGTCCTCATTTCAAATTCATTGTCAAAGTCTGTATCAGTCCTCATTTCAACTTCATTGTCAAAGTCTGTATCAGTCCTCATTTTAACTTCATTGTCAAAGTCTGTATCAGTCCTCATTTCAGCTTCATTGTCAAAGTCTGTATCAGTCCTCATTTCAGCTTCATTGTTAAAGTCTGTATCAGTCCACATTTCAGCTTCATTGTTAAAGTCTGTATCAGTCCTCATTTCAACTTCATTGTCAAAGTCTGTATCAGTCCTCATTTCAGCTTCATTGTTAAAGTCTGTATCAGTCCTCATTTCAACTTCTTTGTCAGTCTGTATCAGTCCTCATTTCAACTTCATTGTCAGTCTGTTTCAGTCATTTTAACTTCATTGTCAAAGCCTGTATCAGTCCTCATTTCAGCTTCATTGTCAAAGTCTGTATCAGTTCTCATTTCAACTTCATTGTCAAAGCCTGTATCAGTCCTCATTTTTGCATCAACTTCATTGTCTTATTGTCCTGCTTCAGCTTCATCGTCTATCTGGGGTTCAGTTCTTGATTTGTTCTCTTTGTCTTTCTGTACTTCATTATCGACCACAACATCACTACCGTCTGTTCTTCAGTTCTCATTTCAGCTTCACTCTTTATTTGAATTTTAGTTCTCATTTCAGCTTCACTTTCTGTTTGTATTTTAGTTCTCATTTCAGCTTCACTTTTTATTTGAATTTTAGTTCTCATTTCAGCTTCACTTCCTGTTTGTATTTTAGTTCTCATTTCAGCTTCACTTTTTATTTGAATTTTAGTTCTCATTTCAGCTTCACTTTCTGTTTGTATTTTAGTTCTCATTTCAGCTTCACTTTTTATTTGAATTTTAGTTCTCATTTCAGCTTCACTTTCTGTTTGTTTTTTAGTTCTCATTTCAGCTTCACTTTCTATTTGTATTTCAGTTCTCATTTCAGCTTCACTTTCTGTTTGTATTTTAGTTCTCATTTCAGCTTCACTTTTTATTTGAATTTTAGTTCTCATTTCAGCTTCACTTTCTATTTGTATTTTAGTTCTCATTTCAGCTTTACTTTCTATTTGTATTTCAGTTCTCATTTCAGCTTCACTTTCTGTTTGTATTTTAGTTCTCATTTCAGCTTCACTTTTTATTTGAATTTTAGTTCTCATTTCAGCTTCCCTTTCTATTTGTATTTAGTTCTCATTTCTGCTTCATTGTCAAAGCCTGTATCAGTCCTCATTTTTGCATCAACTTCATTGTCTTATTGTCCTGCTTCAGCTTCATCGTCTATCTGGGGTTCAGTTCTTGATTTGTTCTCTTTGTCTTTCTGTACTTCATTATCGACCACAACATCACTACCGTCTGTTCTTCAGTTCTTATTTCAGCTTCACTTTCTATTTGTATTTTAGTTCTCATTTCAGCTTCACTTTTTATTTGAATTTTAGTTCTCATTTCAGCTTCACTTCCTGTTTGTATTTTAGTTCTCATTTCAGCTTCACTTTTTATTTGAATTTTAGTTCTCATTTCAGCTTCACTTTCTGTTTGTATTTTAGTTCTCATTTCAGCTTCACTTTTTATTTGAATTTTAGTTCTCATTTCAGCTTCACTTTCTGTTTGTATTTTAGTTCTCATTTCAGCTTCACTTTCTATTTGTATTTCAGTTCTCATTTCAGCTTCACTTTCTGTTTGTATTTTAGTTCTCATTTCAGCTTCACTTTTTATTTGAATTTTAGTTCTCATTTCAGCTTCACTTTCTATTTGTATTTTAGTTCTCATTTCAGCTTTACTTTCTATTTGTATTTCAGTTCTCATTTCAGCTTCACTTTCTGTTTGTATTTTAGTTCTCATTTCAGCTTCACTTTTTATTTGAATTTTAGTTCTCATTTCAGCTTCCCTTTCTATTTGTATTTAGTTCTCATTTCTGCTTCATTGTCAAAGCCTGTATCAGTCCTCATTTTTGCATCAACTTCATTGTCTTATTGTCCTGCTTCAGCTTCATCGTCTATCTGGGGTTCAGTTCTTGATTTGTTCTCTTTGTCTTTCTGTACTTCATTATCGACCACAACATCACTACCGTCTGTTCTTCAGTTCTTATTTCAGCTTCACTTTCTATTTGTATTTTAGTTCTCATTTCAGCTTCACTTTTTATTTGAATTTTAGTTCTCATTTCAGCTTCACTTTCTGTTTGTATTTTAGTTCTCATTTCAGCTTCACTTTTTATTTGAATTTTAGTTCTCATTTCAGCTTCACTTTCTGTTTGTATTTTAGTTCTCATTTCAGCTTCACTTTTTATTTGAATTTTAGTTCTCATTTCAGCTTCACTTTCTGTTTGTATTTTAGTTCTCATTTCAGCTTCACTTTCTATTTGTATTTCAGTTCTCATTTCAGCTTCACTTTCTGTTTGTATTTTAGTTCTCATTTCAGCTTCACTTTTTATTTGAATTTTAGTTCTCATTTCAGCTTCACTTTCTATTTGTATTTTAGTTCTCATTTCAGCTTCACTTTCTATTTGTATTTCAGTTCTCATTTCAGCTTCACTTTCTGTTTGTATTTTAGTTCTCATTTCAGCTTCACTTTTTATTTGAATTTTAGTTCTCATTTCAGCTTCACTTTTTATTTGAATTTTAGTTCTCATTTCAGCTTCACTTTCTGTTTGTATTTTAGTTCTCATTTCAGCTTCACTTTTTATTTGAATTTTAGTTCTCATTTCAGCTTCACTTTCTGTTTGTTTTTTAGTTCTCATTTCAGCTTCACTTTCTATTTGTATTTCAGTTCTCATTTCAGCTTCACTTTCTGTTTGTATTTTAGTTCTCATTTCAGCTTCACTTTTTATTTGAATTTTAGTTCTCATTTCAGCTTCACTTTCTATTTGTATTTTAGTTCTCATTTCAGCTTTACTTTCTATTTGTATTTCAGTTCTCATTTCAGCTTCACTTTCTGTTTGTATTTTAGTTCTCATTTCAGCTTCACTTTTTATTTGAATTTTAGTTCTCATTTCAGCTTCCCTTTCTATTTGTATTTAGTTCTCATTTCTGCTTCATTGTCAAAGCCTGTATCAGTCCTCATTTTTGCATCAACTTCATTGTCTTATTGTCCTGCTTCAGCTTCATCGTCTATCTGGGGTTCAGTTCTTGATTTGTTCTCTTTGTCTTTCTGTACTTCATTATCGACCACAACATCACTACCGTCTGTTCTTCAGTTCTTATTTCAGCTTCACTTTCTATTTGTATTTTAGTTCTCATTTCAGCTTCACTTTTTATTTGAATTTTAGTTCTCATTTCAGCTTCACTTCCTGTTTGTATTTTAGTTCTCATTTCAGCTTCACTTTTTATTTGAATTTTAGTTCTCATTTCAGCTTCACTTTCTGTTTGTATTTTAGTTCTCATTTCAGCTTCACTTTTTATTTGAATTTTAGTTCTCATTTCAGCTTCACTTTCTGTTTGTATTTTAGTTCTCATTTCAGCTTCACTTTCTATTTGTATTTCAGTTCTCATTTCAGCTTCACTTTCTGTTTGTATTTTAGTTCTCATTTCAGCTTCACTTTTTATTTGAATTTTAGTTCTCATTTCAGCTTCACTTTCTATTTGTATTTTAGTTCTCATTTCAGCTTTACTTTCTATTTGTATTTCAGTTCTCATTTCAGCTTCACTTTCTGTTTGTATTTTAGTTCTCATTTCAGCTTCACTTTTTATTTGAATTTTAGTTCTCATTTCAGCTTCCCTTTCTATTTGTATTTAGTTCTCATTTCTGCTTCATTGTCAAAGCCTGTATCAGTCCTCATTTTTGCATCAACTTCATTGTCTTATTGTCCTGCTTCAGCTTCATCGTCTATCTGGGGTTCAGTTCTTGATTTGTTCTCTTTGTCTTTCTGTACTTCATTATCGACCACAACATCACTACCGTCTGTTCTTCAGTTCTTATTTCAGCTTCACTTTCTATTTGTATTTTAGTTCTCATTTCAGCTTCACTTTTTATTTGAATTTTAGTTCTCATTTCAGCTTCACTTCCTGTTTGTATTTTAGTTCTCATTTCAGCTTCACTTTTTATTTGAATTTTAGTTCTCATTTCAGCTTCACTTTCTGTTTGTATTTTAGTTCTCATTTCAGCTTCACTTTTTATTTGAATTTTAGTTCTCATTTCAGCTTCACTTTCTGTTTGTATTTTAGTTCTCATTTCAGCTTCACTTTCTATTTGTATTTCAGTTCTCATTTCAGCTTCACTTTCTGTTTGTATTTTAGTTCTCATTTCAGCTTCACTTTTTATTTGAATTTTAGTTCTCATTTCAGCTTCACTTTCTATTTGTATTTTAGTTCTCATTTCAGCTTCACTTTCTATTTGTATTTCAGTTCTCATTTCAGCTTCACTTTCTGTTTGTATTTTAGTTCTCATTTCAGCTTCACTTTTTATTTGAATTTTAGTTCTCATTTCAGCTTCCCTTTCTATTTGTATTTAGTTCTCATTTCTGCTTCATTGTCAAAGCCTGTATCAGTCCTCATTTTTGCATCAACTTCATTGTCTTATTGTCCTGCTTCAGCTTCATCGTCTATCTGGGGTTCAGTTCTTGATTTGTTCTCTTTGTCTTTCTGTACTTCATTATCGACCACAACATCACTACCGTCTGTTCTTCAGTTCTTATTTCAGCTTCACTTTCTATTTGTATTTTAGTTCTCATTTCAGCTTCACTTTTTATTTGTATTTTAGTTCTCATTTCAGCTTCACTTTCTGTTTGTATTTTAGTTCTCATTTCAGCTTCACTTTTTATTTGTATTTTAGTTCTCATTTCAGCTTCACTTTCTATTTGTATTTTAGTTCTCATTTCAACTTAATTGTCTAACTGTACTTCTATGCCAATTCCGACTTTTGAGTCTCTCAATACTTATTTCCACGTCATCTCTGTTTTGCATGGGTCTTTGTCTTTTCACTCTTCTTTCACCTTTGTGTTCCATCACTCTTTTATCATTTTGTGCAACTTCTTTGTCTCTCTGTTTTTGCGAACTGTACTGTCGTAGACATGCATATTCTTCAGGGGTTTACGGATTCCAACAAACATATGTCTTTTCACCCCTTTCTCCTTTCCTCTTCTGTTACACTGTTCATCTTCTTTTCTTGCTTTATTTGTTCCTTTCTTGGTATTTTTCTTTAGCATTGTCAAAACCTTTTTCCTACTACATTGTCTCCCCACCTTGAAAGGCTTACAACAGTTTCCTTCTAACTGTCGCTTTGCCTAAAAGTGTGGTCATCATAATCAAGTGAACTTTCTGATTCAGTTCCTGTGTCATTGAAAGGTTTATAGTGAAAGTTGAACAAGCTGCTTCC